AGAATGGGGGCCAGGTGCCAGTGGCTCACGCCTGTAATAGCTACTCAGGAGGCTGAGATCTGAGGATTGTGGTTCAAAATCGGCCCTGGCAGGAAAGTCTGGGAGACTCTTTTTTTTTTTTTGATTAATCACTTCCTGTTCAATTTTTTAATTTTAAAAGAAAAGCAATTTTTAATTTTTATCCCTATAATTTATGCCCATATTTATTTTTAAATATTAAGAATTATCTCTTTTTTTATTGTGAAAATACCATACAGAGGGGAGTTTGGGAGACTCTTATCTCCAATAAACCACCAGAAAACTGGAAGTGGCACTGTGGCTCAAAGTGGTAGAGTTCTAGCCTTGAACAAAAGAGCTCAGGAACAGCGCCTAGGCCCTGAGTTCTAGCTCTACGATCAGCAAAAAACCAGGACTGGACATTTATTGAGCGCCAACTGTGATCCAGCTTCCCCTCAAACCCTTAGAGGTAGACAACTCTATGCCTGGTGAAGTAATAGGAAACAGAAGTAGTAAGTGTAATCCTCCACCCAAAGCAAGATGGAGTCTGGACTCAGGTCTCCCTGCTGCCCACCTCATTGTGTCTCCACACCATGGGTTGGTGCAGCTGAGGAAGCAGACGTCTCCTGGACCTTTCTTGCACATGCAGCAATCCAGTCTCTGCTCTTGGACCCAAGTCTGAGGCAGTAACTTCTGTTGCCCTGAGTTTAAGACCTGCTATCTACCTTGGGGAAGACAGATGTAGAGAAAGGCCTCTCATTGCCCTGAGGGCCCAGGTTAAGACTGTCACTCAACTGTTCTGAGCCTCAGTTTCCCCAGTGTAAAATTTAGTACTTCTATCATACACAAGATATCCTATGGTAAGATGCCTACATATGGTGTTAAGTAAACACCAGAGATAAATGATGTATTCAAAGGTAGAAATGGAATGTTTAGGCATCTCACTATATGTGCTTATATACATATATGTGTGTGTGCATCTATATATATCAGTTCCATCTACCATACAGATGTATGCATGTGTGTTAAATCTGGAACTTCCATAATCCTAACACTGGGGAGTCTGAGACAGGAGGATCATGAGTTTCAGGCCAGCCTGAGCTCCCTAGAGAGACCCCATCTCACAGAAACAACAAAACAAAAGCAAGTTGGCACCTCCTGCCCCACCCTCTGTGTGACTTGGGCGCTCGCCCTTGGTTTTATGAGCTGAGCCACAGAGCGCCAAGCCTGACCCATAGAGTCTGGCAGAGAAATACATAAACCCTCCCTCCTGTAACTGGCTGCCAAGGTCAAAGTCACAGGGCATAGATCCATGGGTGCTTGTGTGGAGGAGGAGGAGGGGGCTTGGGGGAGCTGTGCTTGGAGCTAAGGTTACAGGAAGGTCCTCCACAAGCAAAGGGCATAGAAGTACCCCCTCCCACACCTGGCTGGAATCCGGCTGTGACCTGTCCTGGTTCTGAGAGATGGTGTGGGGGTTCACTTGACTCTGGGATCCTTTTCCTTCACGAGTGTTGTGAGGTTTAAATGAGCTAGGGTGGCACACAGGAAGCATTTTAAACAATGCATGGCACTTCGTAGATGCTTGAAATGACGCGAGTTATCAAGACCCCCGGGCTCAGTGAGGGGAGGCCCAGCACACAGTAGGCACTTTGTGTCTGGGAGGTGTCAGGCAGGGAGGGCAAGCAGGAAGGAAAGTGGTTCAAGCAACCCATCAAACTGGGACCCCCCCACACACACACTTTCCCCCAAGAACAACTGGCGGGGATCCCAGCCCCAGTCTGACTCTGGTCCCTTGCACACCCCGACCCGGGTGGCCTCCAGGCTTTCTCTGAGTGGATACAGCGGCTCGGCGGGGGACCAGAGCAGCCTGCCCATGAAGGGCGCCAACTTCAGCACCCGGGATGCGGACAACGACGAGTGCTTCTGCAAGTGTGCCCAGATGATGTCCGGAGGTGGGTGCCACCTGGCCTGGCGCCACCTCGCCGTCCCCCATGCTGTCCTCACACCTCTTCCTAAAGGTGGCTTTCCTGGGAGCCCGTGTTCCTGGAGGGACACGGGGAAGGGGGCTGGCTCCAGGGGAGGCACAATGTCCCATCTGTCCCCACCCCAGGTCAGAGGACACCCCACGCCCCAGACCAGGCCAAAGTAGGATCTGGGAGAGCAGGGGAGAGACAAAGGGCAGCTCTCCGGACCCTGTGCATCAAACGATGCTCCATGGTGGGGGCCGAAGTCAGAGATGAGAGAGAGACAAGGACAGAAGAAAAGAGAGAAACAGAGACAGAGAGGAGAGAAGAGAGACTCAAAGACTGAGAAGAAAGAGAGACACAGAGGCAAAGAGGAGGACACGAGAGAGAAGAGACCGAGAGAGAGAGAGAGAAAGAAAAGGCGAAGAAGAGAAACACAGTCCAGAAGACTAAGACTGAAAAATGAGAGACGGAGTCCCAAGAAACACAGGGAGCAGGGACAGAGAAAGATAAGCACTGAAAGAGAACACAGAGATATACCCGCCTAAGCACAGAGATCGCCAGGGACAGAGAGAGACAGACGGATTGACTAACAGGGACACCACAGGGAGGAGACTGAGCAGTTAAGCCTGCAAAGAGCGGAAGGTAGTTGGGGGTGGGGGCACAGGGATGCCACAGGGTCACAGCAAAAGTGAGAAGGAGAGGCAGAAGGGCCCAGAAGGACGGCCAGAGCCCCCAGCTGCCCCCCAGGACCCCGGGTGGTCACTGCCTGCTCCCATCCTACGTCCCCTCTGCCATGAGCTGGTGCCCCAAGAGATCTCAGCCCTGATGAGTCCTTGTTGTCTTGGAGTCTGGATGGGGACCCTGTCACTCCCAAACCTCTGATCTCCCTCTTGCCCCAGGGTGGTGGTTTGTTGCCTGCGGCCTCTCCAACCTCAATGGCATCTACTACCCGTCCGGCTACCACTTGCGCAAACTCAACGGCATCCGCTGGCACTACTTCCGCGGGCCCAGCTACTCACTCCGCGCCACGCGCATGATGGTGCGGCCGGTGGGCGGCTAGCTGGGCAGCACACGGGGGCCCCTCACCCGGATCCCTGGGACAGCCCGGCCACAGCATGGGACACGGCGCCTGGGGCTAGGCCTCCACACCCTGCGTCATCACAGCCCTTGACCCCAAAGTCTGAAGAGTCACCTGCCTCCTTGCAACCCGGATCTGTGACATGCTGGGAGTTGGGGGCTGGGGGGGGGGCTTCTGCCTCTGCGGTACCCCTCATCCTTCTCCCTCAGGTCTCCTGCAGGCTGCTAGCCTGAGGGTTCCAGACCTCTGCAACCTGAGGGTTACAGATCCCCCAAGTAGCAGGTGACTCACAGTAGGTCTGCAGCAGGCAGGAGGCGGCCTACAGGGACTGCTGGATTCCATCCCCAGGGGAAGGAAGGCCACCTCCCCTCCACCCTCCTGTCCCAAGCCTTCCCCAGCCATGAGACGTCCCTGGACTTTGTCTAGTGCTCAGATCTGAGCTCTGAGGAGCTTTTGGGGGGTGGGGCAGGGAATCTAAGAAGGATTCCTTTACTCCCTGCCCATCCTGGAGTGAGTCCCATAGGTCATACCAGGTTTCTTCTGTGAGGTAGCTATGGTAATTGAGAGGATCAGCAAGCTAAAACAAAAGGAATAGGTCTTCTCAGTGCAGGGTGTGTCAGAGCCTTTGACGGTCAGTGCTGTGGCTGCCCAGGGACAGGCTAAAGTGACTCTCTTTCTCCGTTTTCATAATTGAAAATGGGCCTTGCTTGTCCCAGCTCAGGGCTGGGGGTACCATGTGGAAAGCTGGTCTTCACCTGTCTTTGGGGGAAGCCCTAACCCCCCCCCACACACACACACAAGCTGGGCTCACTCTTCTTGACCTCAAGGACTACAGTGAGAGCTTCAACTAGCCTCTGTAAACACAACTGGAAGGAACTTTGGGTTAAAAGAGGTCCAGAGAAGGGTCTAGGACTAAATCCCTGTCTTGCTCTGTCCTCCCATGCTCCTCTGGCCCCGGGAAGCCAGCGCCCTGCCTGTGGGTAGCCCTCGGGATTTCCTGTGACCACCACCTCCCCTCCACTCAAGTCCAGGGCCCACCCACCCTCCTCTCCTCCCTGCCACACCCAACAACAATGCTGCTGGCTGAGACGGAGGGTCGGGGCTCCTCATGAACTGCCCACCCAAGCTGCAGTCAGAATGGGGGACAGTGGCCAGGGCCCTGGCCCATAAGGGTGGTCCCTCATCATAGGTCTCCACAGTGGGACCATCATCCCATACCCACAGGGAAGCCAGGCCTCCACTCGCCTGCCCTCTACAGGCTCTCGGGGATCCCCTGCCCCCCCTCCCCAACGTGTCTCTCCAGCCCTGAGCAGCCCTACCCCCCAACCCCGCCCCAAGTCGCCTGTACTCTCCCTCCACTCAGCCAGCTGACAGGGCTGATCCACCATGATGGGAGTGGACCTGGGATCAGGCGGCTGCTCTTGACACTTCAGGGTGGATCTCTAGCACCCACTGCTTGCATCATGGAGCACAGGCAAAGCTTGAGGGCTAGACAGACTTCCCCAGGCTCTGAGACCCAGCATGCCGGTCCCCAAGCCTCAGTGGCTCTCTGTCAGATGGAGACAGGAATGCTCCCAACCAGGGATCATGGATGTAAACTTCATAGCAAAGCCCAGCGTGGAGTAGGTGTCTAATAAATGTTCAGTCCTGAAAAGGCAAGGAGGGCAGCCCCCTCCTTCCCCCCCCCCCCCCCGTGACCACCCTCCCATGGCCACCCCCCACTCCTGCCCTGGACTTAGAGAGGAGAGGAGATTTTGTTTTCAAATCCACAGCATTGATTTCTACACAACATAACCTCAGGACTGGCTGCATGCTGGAGGAGAAACGAGAGTGAAGCTGTGAACCCCAGCAACAGACGCCCCTGCTCTGTCAGAAGTGAGGGGCCTAGCTCCCCATCTCTGCACTCCAGTGTTCTGAAAGGGGCAGGGAGACCATTCCTAAACATACATGCTTCTTCTCCACCTTCCTCTTGGGTGCACCCAAGGAATGATGGGAAATTGGGAGGATTCAGGTCTGGTTAGCTCCAGTCAGGGTCTGACTGATGAGAAGGCTCTGGTAGCTCAAGCTCTGGTCCGTCCAGGCCAGCATCACCCAGCCAAGGGTACCCCTGGCCCCGTGGTTCTCTCCAGCGGTGTGGGCCCTGTGTCCATCCTTGTAAGTGGTTCTAAGTGGCCAGACCCAGGTCACATGGCCACGCCTGGAACCAGGGGCATCCTGCTGATCAGAAACAGGCATATAGGAAAGTAGAGTGAGTTACCCACAGGCCTCTTCTCTCTGCCTCCTCTTCTTCCTTCCACGGATGCCCCTCCTCCAGACTTCCTGTCCCCAGGCCCTAGCCCCCCAAAAGCCAGCGCATCTCCACACAGACTCAGGCAATCAGGGACACAGCAGGTCCTGCCTAGCAAAATCAGCCCCTGATCCTTGATGCTCCTGGTTTTCTCTGCGCCTCAGTTTCCCATCTCTTCAATAAGGACATGGAGCCAACTTCTAATAGCCATTGTGACAGCGGTGCTAACTCGGGATATGTCCTTCGACCCGGGCTGGGCCTCGGGGGTAGGGGACAGAGCTTGAAGAACCTGGCACCAGGATCCTTGATCTATCTGCATCTGCAGATTTTGCTATGCAAAATCTTGGTCACCTCGCTCTGCATCTGACCAGGACAGTCACTTCTCACCATTGAAGTAATAATCAGAGAGGGACAGAGTTCCATCCAAGACAGCACAGGCAGCCACCACCTCCATCACACCAGAATCTACAAGCTAGCCCTCTTCTGGAGCTCTCTGGTGGCATCCTGCCACCTACCACAAAAATGTTAAAGTGGTGTCTCCTCTATATAATGAGGGCTGAAGGAACTTTCTGGAAATAGTTCCAAGACCAGCTTGTCTCTTCCACTGGCGCCTGGCAGATCCTGATGGAGCCAGCCAGGAAGAACACGCTGTTCCTGAGATCTCTGAGTGTCTCCAGCAGAGGCGATTTCCACACAGGGGCAAGTTCACGGTCACACGTGACCATGGACGAGGGGTGAGCAAGGGTGAGGGACAGACGGCAATCATGAAGGTGGTCTGTTTCAGAGGGATTTGAGTGGTCCTTCCCCTTTACTGTCTGCTTGGGCCTTCGCCTCTCCCACTGAAAGATGCTTTAATGAGTTAGCCCGTGTTGTCCTGGCAACCACAGCAGCAGCATGTAGATGGACTGGCTCTCGGAGGATGAGGGTCTGATCCAGCTCACATACGGGATCTGGCTCACAGGGAAGTCGTGGCAGATTATTCATGCACTCACCCATGCTATGATGTGTGGAGGACCTACCGGGACCAAGGAATATCTGGGAGATGTGGATGGGTAATGAATAAGCCAGACATACACAGTCCTCTCTGCTCACTGAGATAGACAGGTTAAAAAAAAAACTTTAAAAATAGTTTAAAGCTGGGCACCAAGGGCTCATACCTATAATCCTAGCTACTCGGGAAACTGAGATCTGAAGATCACAGTTCAAAGCCAGCCTGGAAAGAAAAGTCCGTGAGACACTTATCTCTAATTAATCACCAAAAAGCCAAAGTGGAGCTGTGGCTCAAATGGTAGAGTGCTAGCCTTGAGTAAAAGGAGCTTAGGGGACAGTGCCCAGGCCCAGAGTTCAAGGCCCAGAACAGGGGTGGGGGGGAGTTTAAAAGACCAGATTAAGTCACATGCTGGAGGTAGAGATAAGGAGAATCACAGACAGCCGAGCATGGTGGCTCACACCTGTAATCTTAGCTCTTCAGGCGGCTGAGATCTGAGGACCCCGGTCAAAGCCACTCTGGGAAGGAAAGACCATGAGATTCTTATCCCCTATAAACCACTCAGAAAATGGGAAGTGGCGCTGTGGCTCAAGTGGTAGAGTACTAGCATTGAGCCGAAGAGCTGAAGGATAGCGAGCAGGCCCAGAGTTCAAGCCCCACAACCGACAAAAAAATAAAAAGGAATCACAGAGGGTCTGACTTTGGGTGGTCAAGGAAGTCCCTTCCAGGAAGTGGTATTTAAATCAAGGACTACACAGGTGTGAAAGAGGCAGCCAGGGGAAAGAGTCCTGTGAACACGTGGCCCCCACTAGAGGGAAGAGCAGTCCAAAGCCCTGGGACACTAAGCAGAGACCTAACAGGGAGACCTGCCTGGGAGAACAGGCACACCCACCTCCTCAGATGAATCCAGATGTGTGCCACAGCTGTGCAGATGGAGGAGGCTTGGAGAAGTACAGCGGCTGCCTGACATCACAGAGGGTCAAGATACAGACCCTGCTGAACTGAGCAGGCTCAATGTACCATGCCCTGCCATGCTCAGCCACAGCACAGCTTCCCTTCCTGGGAAATGGAGTGGCTATTTCCTACCTGGCAGGAAGGGAACAGGATACCTTGGCCTTTCCCAACACGGACATCCACCCTCTCAGCCCAGCCTCGTGTTTACCTAGAAGATGACATCAGCCTCCCAATTGAGCCCCATCTTCAGGCATGTTCCCTCCCTCCTGGCCCACAATCATGTCACTTCCTCGGCCCGGAGCCCTCAGCAGCTCCCCAGGACCTCGAGAATAAACGACAGTCAGCAAGCAGGGCTTTTCGTTGTCTAGCTCACTCCTCCAGCCCCATCTCCACCTTGAGGTTCCCAGGTGGAGAAGTGAGGGTCCCAGGAGACCACCAGCTGGCCAGAGAGACTCCTCCCTCTCCCCTTGACAGCTAGCACAGGGCCCAGCCCGCAGCAGGTGCTGCTGGCAATATGCTCATGGCATCACCCTCTGCAGACAGCTGGGGCCCAGCCCTGCCCCGGCCCTTCACAGGGAAGACAGCCTCTAAGCCCCTGGAGGGCTGCTGGCCCCTGGGACAGGGCCTGCTCACTGTGGGCTCTCTCGCCATGGGTATAGCTGTGTATGTCCTGTGCCAAGCTCTGCAAGGAATTTCTGCCCAGACATAGCATCACTGTGATCCTTACTCCCCCTTTTACAGGCGGGGAAACTGAGGTCCCGGAAAGTGCCATCATCCGGCCAATACCACACACGAGGGGTTAGAGGTGGCTTTGGCCCCAGGTGCCCTCTGCATTTCACAG